CTGAGTTCTATATAGATTCTAGTTATCAGCCCTTTATCAGATGTATAGCATGCAGATATTTTCTGCCATTCTGTAGGTTATCTATTTGCTTTAGTGATAGTTTCTTTGGCAGTGCAGAAACTTTTTCTTTTGATCAGATCCCATTTATTTATTTTTGTTGATGCTGTGATTGATTTTGGGGTCTTCTTCATAAATTCTTAGCCTAGGCTGATGTCTGTAATAGTTTTTCTAATGTTTTTTCTAGAATTCTTATGGTTTCATGCCTTAGGTTTAAGTCTGTTACCCACTATGAGTTGATTTTTGTGAGAGGTGAAAGGTGAGGATCCCGTTTCAGTCTTCAACATGTGGCTATCAGCTTTCCCAGCACCATGTATGGGGATTCTTTTCCCCAGCACTCAGACTCTTGAGCTTACTTTGTGAGACTTTTTCCAAAGGTAGTCTCGAGTCAGTCCCCCTCCCTTTGTGGTTCATATGTTTTCTACTTAGGTTTTTACAGCTTCTAGAATATCTTAGAAACAACAAAATCCAGGCAACAAAATGGATTTTTTTATTCTAAAAAATAAGTTAACTTTGCTCCATATAAGTATTTCTATTTGTTCTTAGCATTTTATAATCTTTGGAGTATTTTTTTTCCTGTCTTAAGAATTTGGGAATTATTAAAACAAATCAGGGAATGTTTTTTAAGTTAGAGTTAGTTGCTCTGTCTTTGTGATTTTTTATCACAGATGAGTTGGAAAGGTTCAGGTTCAGTTTTGCATTGTTTTCATCAATAGCCAAAGCCCTTAGCAGCATGCAGAGCCTCAGTCTGCCGCGCGCACACACCAGCCGCGGTGCTCCGCGCTGCCTCCGCCGCCCGGCCTTGCCACCCTCACCAGTGCCAAAGGCTTTGGGAGTGTCATCCCTCCTCAAGCAGAGAGAGGCACATGTCAAAGAGGGATGGCAGCAGCGCTGGAAATTACAGAATCACAGAGACCCACAAGGAAGGAAAATGAAGCTGAGAGAGGTTTCAGAGCTTCCACCTTACAGCGGATAGATGCCCTCTGCCTCCAGTGCACATCAAAGCCAGTGCCCACCTCTAGCGGTGGCAGTGGCGTGGGGAATGTGACACCTAAGCCCTGAAGGACATGAGTCGGCAGGACTCCTTTCTAAGCAGGACTCCTCGTCTCAGTCGCAGTCCTATGTCTCAGTCAGTCCATTTTAAATATAGAACATAAAGCCATAAAACTTTTAAGATAAAACCTTTGGGACCTCTGACTGGGTGAGTAGTTCTTAGACTTGACAGCAACAGCAGAATCCATAGAAGGAAAAATTAGTAAATTGGACTTTACCAAAATTAAAAACTGATCTGAAAAAGATCCTTTTAAGAGAATGAAACAATAAGCTATAAATAGGGAGGAAATATTTGCAAATCTCGTATCTAAAATATAGAAAGAACTCAGCAATAAACACAGACATGCACATAAACAAGGAGTCCAGCTAAAAACTGGACAAAAACATGGAGACACTTCCCAAAGAGGATATATAATATACGACGGCAAATAAGCAAATGAAAGACATCCGGCATCACTACCCCTGAGGACAAAGTAAATCAAGACCCTGATGAAATGTCACTACACTCCTGTTAGAACAACTTGAGTAAAAAATCTAGTAACACCAAATGCGAGTGAGGATGCAAAGAAGCCAGAGCTCTTGTACATTGCTGGGCTATGGATGTGGGGTATAAAATGATGCCGCCACCCTGGAAAAAGTTTGATGGTTTCTTTACAAAAATAAACATACATTTACTTACCCTATGACCCAGCAATTACACTCTTGAACATGTATCCAGAGAAACAGAAATTTGTGTTCATCTGAAAACCTGTACACGATGGTTCACAGCAGGAGTTTCATAATGGCTAAGAAATGGAAACAATCCAAATGTCCATCAGTTGTTGAATGGATAAATGAAGTGTCCTTTATCCATACCATGGAATGTTATTCAGCCATAAGGAATGAAGTACTGACACATGCTACAACATGGAAGAACCTCAAAAACATGTTAAGGGAAAGAAACCAGTTACAAAAGACCACATGTATGATTCCATTCATAAAAAAACATCTAGAATAGGCAAATTCATAAAGAAAAAAAGTAGATTAGTGGTGGCCAGGGGTTGGAGGGAGTGAGAGTACTGCTTAGTAGATACAAGATTGGTTTTGGGAATGATAAAAACATTCTGAAATTAGATACTGGTGATGGTTATATAAGCCTATGAACATACTAGCAAACAGTGCACTTTCAATGGGTGAATTTTTTGTATGTGAATTATCTCAATTTTAAAAATTGGATTTATACTTTTTATATTCCTATGATACAGTAAAGAACTTAGGAACTTCATATCACATCATACCTCATGCAGAAGAGATTGTTACTGTTTTAATGAACTATCAGCAATCCCTAGAGAAACTAAAAAAACACTTGGTATTTTTCATGGTAAATATAATCATGATGGTAAAATACCCATTTGTACAATTTGGTAAATATAATTTTAGTACATGCATATATCTTGATATATTTCCATTTAAAAATGCATTGGTTACTATAAATAAAAATATAGCTGTAGAATCTTGTCAGTTTCCCGGCCGTGAGTTTAGGAAAGCTGCAGGTTTTCTCCATCCCTGCCTGCGGCTTCTCCTCCCCTCCGCTACTCTTCAGATGCGGCTGGTATTTGGTAACAGCGAGGAGTCTGGTGGGGCCCAGACGGGAAGTGCTGGGAAACCTGGCTCTCCCTGCTCCGCTGACTTGACCTTCTCCACCTGCTCTCTCCGGGAGGGCCTCTGCCCTGACTGCCGTGGCCAGACCAACGTTGGGATGGACAGCCTGGCCCGGCTTCTCTCCCGTGGGCTCCACTTTCCAAATGCAGAGGTCAGGACGACAGAGCTTCCTATCAAGTATCGGCAGGAAAACTTTTATTGTTGAAGTTTAATGACCCAAATTTTCTGCAGACTTATTTTATGCAATCTGTAAATTGAAGTATACCCCAGGAAGTTCATTCTGGATAATGATATTATCAAATCCTGAGCATAATGACTTAATCTGTATGCCCTTTTTTCTTCAATTAAACTTTTATTTTAAAACTTTCAATAAAATCTTTTATTAACTTTTGAAAAGATAGGCTTATAGTAGCCACTTGCCTCTCAGCCTGTTTGTTATTTAAACATTATTAAATGATGGCTTTTTAAAAATAATATGTTTCCCCTGTAACAAAATGAAACCTTATGCAAAAATGAACAGTAAGGAATGAATTACAGCGACAAGAACAAGACACTCTATGCCAAACAAAATTGGCTTCTGCCCCAGGTGTGCCCCCAGCAGAGGCTGGGGTTATCTGCAGGAATGTGTGGCTGCCCAGGATGAAGACTCTCCTTCCCACAGCAACGCAGCCATCCAGATCATATCCGTTTTTTAGAACAGTAGAGAAGCTGACTTTTTATGAGCTAAGCATTTTATTTAACACATAGCCAACCGTTACCTAAGAATCTGCATTAAATATATCCAAGCTTTTAGAATTAGCCAGAAGCATCTTCTAAATAAATAAAAGTCAAATTGAAATATAATTTTTCTTAGGCTCTGTGCCTAGAACACCATTTTTCAAAGAAAATTCCAAGGAAATACTAGTTCCTCAGGATGTTATTAGTGACTACACCAAAAAGGGTTGTGTGGTTATAAATTGAAGAAACTTGGGTTTAATGGGACCTTACAGGTGTCTTTTACAGAGAGCTTTGGGGAATCTGCCATCTCCAGTCCCACAGCAGTGTGAGTGTGCCCAGCTCAAGGCGTGCCCTGCACAGCAACCCCGCTGACCAGGTTTTCATGGATTGGATTCCACAGAACACTTTTTGGGAAACTCCAAAAATTTAGGAAAATTGATGAGCACTCAGTCACTATCTGGAAACGGGTTGTGTATTTTCCTATTCATACAAAGATAATTTTTTTACACATCTTTTATCATAGTCTTAATTTTACTCTACTCCTTCACAGAGTGACCCTGGGATTAAAATCCTGTCTTAAACCGGGCAGATTTGTGAGCGAAAAACAGCATAGAGTTTAGGGCCTAGCAGTGATGATGCTGATAACATGGCAGTATCAGGCGGCCAGCACGCACGGAGCACTCGCTGTGAGCACAGAGCCCTAGCGAGAGCTGCACGCGCCGTGTTCTTTCACTGCTGCAGTAGCACCAACAGCTGGGTGCTGCGCCCTGCTGACTTCACAAGGTCCGAGCATGGTGTGACTTTCCTAAGGCCTCACAGCGATCAAAGGCAGAGCTAACACGAGACAAGGCTCTGCCCACCGGAGGCCCATGCTATTCCCCTCCCTGTGAACAAGGGGCTTGAGTCAAGGTCAGAGCTGGGTCTTGGAAGTGAAAACCATATAAGTGGAATCATATGATGTTTGTCCTTTTGTGTCCTACTATACTTTTTATTTTAGATGAGTTTCATATTACAAGTAGTTTATGTTTGTTTTGGGAAAATGTAGAAAATACACAATCCATGGAGGAAAATAAATATCATTTCCAAGTTCTACTCAGATAACCACTAAAAAGATTTTTATATCTTTCTGTCTTTTCCTCTGGCTTATTACATATAGTAACATGCATAGATATATACATAAAAGCATTATAATTTGTTGCCTGCTTTTTACTCAGAAAGGTATCATAAACATGTTTTCACATCCTTATGTATTTTCTGTATAACCCTTTCAGTGACTGTATAATATTTCATTGTGTGGATGAATCGTACTTTAATGGACAGGGCCTATTCTTGTGCAGTTGGTTTCCCATGTGTGTCCATCTGTTTTTGTGTCCTCTGTCCTCCCCTTCTGAAATCACCAGCACCTCAAATTGTAGCTCCATAGCGTTAGGGCTGGAGTCTGTTAAGCCTTCCACCAGCTCCAGCTCGCTGGCCAGGCACTTTGTAGGTGGTGTGTGATGATGAGTACCTCTGGCAGCCTTTTCTTGTTGCAGGGCAGCGGGGCTTTTCAGTTTGATCGACTCCCTGTGGCCCCCAGTGACGCCTCTGAAAGCACCTGGCCACGGCCAGCCCTGTGAAGAGGTAAGCCCAGCATGGGGAAGCTCCCCTGGTTGCGGCCGCCCGTGCCAGCACGGAGCCAGGCACCTGCTCCACCTCCTGCATGGCCACGTCCCCACAGAGGCGACAAGGAGCCCGTGCGGCCGGCTCTGTCATCCGTGGAGACCCGCGATGCAAGCCGGGCTGGGATTCAGACCCACCTGGCTCATCTGGGGCCGCAGCCCGGCCGCCGTCCCCTGTGCTGCGCAGCATGTCCCTGGAGGTTATTTGCTGACCGCTTGCCTCACAGTCCCCACGGTGGCAACAGTCAGGTCTCAGGCAAGTGCCAAGGCGCACACAGAGGGTTTTCCCACCAGCCTGCAGTCAGCAAGCAGAGCAGGAGCTCACATGGCCACAGGTAGTCACTCCTCGCCTGCCTCATCAGCTGCGCCTGGTGGTGGCTCACAGGTAGCAAAGTGTATTAAAAGGTGCTCCCCCGTCCCTCCTGAGCCTTCTGCCGCAGGCTGGCCAGTCAGGGTTTCGGGCCACAGCTCCCAAAGCCAAAAACGAGGAGCTGTCTTGCTTACACAGAGTGCTAAGTCTGTGACCTTGCACTTGCCAAACAGCATAGTAAGTCATCAAAAATGCCCATTTCTCGGTTATTTAGGAAGAAGTAATTTATAAATGATGTTTTCAGTATACTCTGAAAAATAAATGTCTAAAATAAAATCTCAAATTGGTAATAAATTCAGAAGTACAGAAGTTCTTATACTTGGCCCCAGAGGCAAACAGCATAACCATTCCTCGTATGGCATTCCAGAGAGGGCACACATCTATGGGCAAATAGTATATATTAAAGAGTAGATTTTAGTAGTGTATTTGAGTCTTTCAACAATGCATTCACGTTCTACCTTTGCCTTCATTGTAAACAGGTAAAAACTCATCTGCCTCTTCCTGCCTTCTGTTACATCCTCACGGCTCATCCAGTTCTGGGACAAATTGATATCCTTGAAGAAGACCCCATTTCAAAGCTCTACCAGCCTCCAGTTACCCGCTGCTTAAGAGAAATTCTGCAGGTAGTGTTTGTGTTTCTGAGAAGTTCCTCAAGTGCGTTTGCTGTGCTGTGCACTTCCACACCGTCACCAGTCTCTCTCTCTGCCTTCCCAGACTGGTGATCTCGGTGCCCGCTGCAGTTTCTATGCCCGGGTGATTTATCAAAGACCTCAGGTAATCTGTCTGTCTTTCTCACTGTCTCTCTCATAAGGTGTTATAATGTATAAGATATTATAAGTTTATTAAAGGATAATCTCTATTAGGGATTAATGGCGTGCCAAAGTAGAAAAGCATTTTTAAAATCCAGTTAAGCATGCTCCGTGCTGAAGTGGTGATAAATCCATTCCTTGTACAGGTGTGGACTGTCAGCCACTGTGCCAGTACTGGGGTATGAAACAACCCAAGCACAACCCTGACTGCTAAGATTTTCAGCTCGGAAATGCTCATTTTTCCCTGACACATAGGCTGGTTACAGAAAGGAAAAAGAAGCTGAAACCTCGTTCCTGGGGTGGGAGTGGGAATCTGAGGATTGAGCTCAGCCACTTCTGGGAATTCCGAGAGCCTTCGAAAGCTGAAGGGGCCCTTTTATGGTCCCTGTGAGGCCTTGGGCAGTTCTAGGGAGTGGCACCCTCATGGCACTTGCTGCTCCATCAGTGGGGAGTAAATGAGGGAAAAGATGTCCATGGCAATGTCACTGCACGGACGACATTCTGTGAGAAACATCTGCCGGACCTTAACTCATGGAGGAGCATCCATGCAAATCTAGTCACCCAAGAGGCACAGGGAATGCCCTACTTGTTATGTCCTCGCCCTCTCGTGGGTGGTGTGCACCAGGTACACGAGTACCCTCTGAGCGCTGCCTCCTCAAGGGTATGTGTGAAAGAAGCAGACCAGGTCCAGGGGTGCCTGTGCCTACCCCGGCTGTTGGTGTGTCACCTGTGACCAACCAGGTGGGAACACCAGGGAATTGCCCAGTGAGGGGTCTCGAGGGGAGGCAGGAAGTTGGCACCTGGGCAGGTGAGCTGGGCACAGGGTTGGGATGGCACCAGTGGTTGTCTTTAAACCAGACTATGCCTGGTTACCAAGACCTGACAAAGCAAACCCCAGAACTTGGGCGAGTCACCTACACACTTGATAGGAATCTCTACAAAGCCTGCATGCTTTGCATACAGCCATGGCTCAGCTGCCTGGCTCGGGAGCTTTTCTCTTCTGCTTAAGTTATCCAGAGTTATTTTCTGTTGTGCTTTCATTTTGAACAAGTTATTTGCATTTTTCTGATCATTCTTAGGCAGGAGAAGAGCCATAGAATGACTAAAAGAATATGCTTCTAAACTTCCAATCAAGTTCTTGATGATGCTCATATATACGAGCATGTTGTATCAACCTATCTTTCATCTGTATTTTTCTTGTGACTTGTTTCAACTTAAAAATGTAAAAGCCTTAAATAAATTTAAAAACCATACTTAGCTTGCAGGCCACACATAAGCAGACAGTGAGCTGGTTTGGTCCATGGGCCATATTTTGCTATCTCAGGTCTACCAAGATCCCTGACGTTCTTCAAATGCTGAGCAGGGCCGCAGGGCCTGAGAGCTGTGAAACAGGAAGAAACAACCGGACGCGTGTCTCCTGGCGTCTGGCAGGCTGACTGAATGCACAGTGGGGTGTGTGGCAGGGAGGGAAGAAGGGAAGGGCCGTCAAGGGGTGCTCATCACCTAGGGATGCCAGAGGTTCTGCATGAGAACATGGTGCTGATCTCTGTACGAGAGCATTTTAAGACTCAAGTAAACTTTACACTTCAGACGTAAGGGATGTGCTGCAGGTGATGCTCAGGTGTCTGTTGCCTTGCCTTTCCTTCTTTGCAGAAGGTGCGTGCTCTCTGCAGTGAACTTGTATATATTAGCTCACAGAGATCCTGAAGTTTAAATAAAAAGTACATTGCCCATAGAAACAGAAACAGAGAATTAAATTGTGAATATAAATGAACTTCATTTAGCTCTTTATTTTTTATTATCGATATTTTTGCCATCTTTAATTTCCATGCAGGATTTTTCAGTTTTTCAAACCATTATCATGTAAATACCATTTTATCTGAGCAGCAGTAGTATACCTGTTCTAGGAATATCTCTAATCCAGTGTCCATGATGCCTCTTGACTCTGCAGTCCCTCTGTCACCTGTAGGGTGGCATGGACGCAGCACACCTCTGCCACAGGCCAACTGTTACTAAACCTCCTCACCTCAGTTTCCGCATCTGTCACATGGGTGTGACATTCTCTCACGGTAGTGGGTTATTCTAGGATAAATTTAATAGTTTTGAAATGCCCTCTTAGTTCCATCATTTTCCATTTATCTGTTTACCTTTTCATCACTTGACAGCTAGTTAGTGCCTCTCCTGAGGCGTTAGAGAACAGTTACCGTAACCGTCACATTACGCGTCGCCCAGTTGTGTACCGTGTGAGCTGTCCCAGGGTCCGGCAGGGCCCTCAGCAAGGACAGGGGTGGAGCACAGGGTGTGTCTCTGACTTTCCAAGTCTGAGGTGAGCCGAAGGCCAACTTCATGCATCTCCAGCCACCTGGAGAAGACCCAGCCGTAGGGCCACACTGCAGGCAGAACACTGCCCTCAGCGCAGCCGCGAGGCTGTGGCAGCTCACACTCCTGTCCACAGCCCTCCAGCTGAGAAAGCAGGTGTCAAATCCTTGCACCAAACCCAGGAGGAGGGGAGCGCTGGAGCAGAGAAGGACAGACTGTGGCCGGTCTGCCTGCTGGCTGGAGGGGCCCTGCCCGGAAGTGGGGGAGCCGGGGCGCATCCAGGGATCCCGTCCTGTCCAAGAAGCAGCCTGTCCGTGGGCAGGGCTGTCAGTGGTCACGTGCCTAGGAAGCGGTGTCCCTGTAGTCAGAGACAGTCGAAGACCCAGAACCCAATGGAGTAGGTTCTTTGATCCACTAAAATTCTACCTATCTTCTGCTTTGTGGGAAAGAGAATCACCAGAAACCAACTTCCTCGGGGAGGAATTGAGATAAGCTAAGTCCTGGGGCCAGCCTGCGCTTCCGCCAGTCACCGCACCCTCTGCAGTCAGGACTGACTGTGGAATGCTGCCCTGTGTCACTGCCGGAACCTGCGCCGTCAAAACAGACCCAGTGACTATGTCATGAAAGTGAAAGAGATGGATGCTTTTTATCGTTAACTTTTATTTTGTAGTAATCACAGACTCAGAGTAGACTGAAGGGAAACATACAGGGTGCTTTGGGCACCCTCCTCCATGCCATCTCCCACACCCACAGCAGCCCCAGCGCAAGACAAAGCCAAGAAACGGGCACTGGAACAGTCCACGGAGCCCGTTCAGATTTCACCAGTCACACGTGTATTCTGTGTGTGTGCGCACACACGCTTTTACGCAGTTTTGCCACACGTGTGGCCTTGTGTAACCACCGCTGTACTCAGTATATGCTGTTGTGCCGTCACCACAGAGTCCCTTTGGTCCCATGCATAGCCACACCCGTCCTTTCCCTAACCCCAACCTGGCAGCCACTGATATGTTCTCTTCCATTATGATTATTTTATGAGTGTTGCTGAACAGGACCACACGGTATGTATCTGTATTAGTTTCCTAGGATTGCCATATAAAGTTCCAAAAACTAGATGGCTTCAAACAACAGAAATGTATTCTGTCACACTTCTGTTTCCTTGTTTCTTATTTTCGGGTTTGTTGTTTTTTGTGTTTTTTTTTTAGACAGAGTCTCGCTTTGTTGCCCAGGCTAGAGTGAGTGCTGTTGCGTCAGACTGGCTCACAGCAACCTCAAACTCCTGGGCTCAAGTGATCCTCCTGCCTCAGCCTCCCGAGCAGCTGGGACTACAGGCATGCACCACCATGCCTGGCTAATTTTTTCTATATATATTAGTTGGCCAATTAATTTCTTTCTAATTTTAGTAGAGATGGGGTCTCGCTCTTGCTCAGGCTGGTTTCAAACTCCTGACCTCGAACGATCCACCTGCCTCGGCCTCCCAGAGTGCTAGGATTACAGGCGTGAGCCACCGTGCCCGGCCTATTTTCGGGTTTTTGCTGCTGTTGTTGAGACAAGAGTCTCACTCTGCCACCCTGGGCAGAGTGCAGTGGCGTCATTGTGGCTCACTGAGACCTCCAACTCCTGGGCTCCATGCGATCCCTCTGCTTCAGTCTCTGGGTAGCTGGGACTACAGGCATGTACCACCATGCCCGGCTGTTTTTTTGTTTTTTTTTTTGGTAGAGACGGGGTCTTACTCTTGCTCAGGCTGGTCTTGAACTCCTGAGCTCAAGCAATCCTCCCGACTCCCAGGCTCCCAGAGTGCTAGGATTATAGGGTGAGCCACCGTACCCACACCCGGCCTGTGTCGCACTTCTGGAGGCCAGTAGTCTGTAGTCGAGGTGTGGGCAGGGCCGTGCTCCTCCAGTGGCTCTAAGAAGGACCCTTCCAGCTTCCGGTGTTTGCTGGCGTTCCCTGGCATTCCCTGGCACAGCACATCTGCTCACTGTGTCCTCACGCCGTCTTCCCTCCTCCTGTCTGTGTCCAAACCTCCCCATTTTATAAGGACACCAGTCCGTATTGGATTAGGGCACACCCTAATGTCCTCATCTTAACTTGGTTAAATCTGCAAAGACCCTGTTTCCAAATAAAGCCACATTCTGAGGTACTTGAAGTCCTAAATGCCAACAGATCTTTTTTTGGGAGGACACAGTTCAACCCGTAACAGATCCTTTTGAGACTGGCTTTGTTCAATTAACATAATTCTCTGGAGATCGATTCAGAGGACTAATGATGTTGAACATCTTTTCATGTGTTTATTTGCCATCCATATATCCTTTTTGGTGAAATATCTGTTCACATATTTTGGCCACTGTCTAATTGGATTTCTCATTAATTTACTGTTGAATTTTTAAAGCTTTTTGTATTTTCTAAATACAAAGCCTTTGTCGGGTATGGGATTTGCAAATATTTTCTTAGGGTCTGTAAATTGTATTTTCATCTTTTTAACAGGATTTTTTTTAATGATACAGAAGTTTTTAATTTTGATGCAGTCAAATTTACCAAATTTTCCTCTTATAGATCATGGTGTTGTTGTCTAGTCTAAAAACAAGTCAAGTCTCTTTGCCTCATTCTGGGTCCCAAAGTTTCCCTCTTACATACTTTTCTAGAAGATTTATAAATTTACATTTTACATTTGAGTCCATCACGTGTTTTGAGTTGGATTTTGTACAAGGTGTGTGGTTTAGGTCAAGGTCAGTTTTCTGCCTTGGATGTCTGTTCACTCCAGCACCATTTGCTGAGAGACCGTCCTTCCTCCACTGAATCGCTTTTGTACCTTTGTCAAAAGTTAATTGGGCATATTTGTGTGGAAGAGATCTGTTAGGTTTCTATATCATCCATGCTTAAATACTTTTCCTGATTACATAGGGCTATAAGAATTTTTTCAATAGACTTTATTCTTTAGAGCGGTTTGAAGTTCACAGCAAAACTGAAATTAAGGTATAGACATTTTCCATATGCCTTCTGCCCACACCTGCACAGCCTGCCTCCCCACTGTCAACACCCCCACCAGAGTGGCACGTTTGCTACAATTGATGAACCTACACATCATTGTCACCCAAAGTCCATAGTTTACATTAGGGTTCACTCTTGGTGTTGTACATTCTGTGGTTTCGGACAGATATATGATGACACGTGTCCATCATTTTAGTGTCATTCACTGCCCTAAAAGCCCTCTGTATTTCACTTACTCATTTCTCCCTTTCCTAAGCCCCTAGAAACCACTAATCTTTTTACTGTGTCCATAGTTTTGCCTTTTCAGAATGTCATATAGTTTGAATCACACAGTGGGTAGCCTTTTCAGATTGGCTTCTTTCACTTAATAATACACATTCAAGTTTCCATGTCTTTTCATGGCTTGATAGCTCATTTCCTTTTGAGGACTGCATAATATTCCATTTTTTGGATGCACTACAGTCTATCCATTCACCTACTGAAGGATATCTTGGTTGCTTCAAAGTTTTGACAATTATGAATAAGAAGAGATCTATTTTTAATAAAATTTTAGCCATGAATTGTTGGTACTACTTCAAATTAATTGGTTGTTGGTATATTTTTACAGATGATTTTGTTGTTACTGACTTTATTCATAACCCCAATAGTAGTGATAACTTGATAGTTGATCTTTCTCTGAAGCAAGTTAGAGAAAAAAAAATTGATAGTTAATTTCAAAGGAAATTAGAACATTTTGGTTCATCAGTAGATTGAAAGAGAGACTACAGGCCAAATCCATAATATTTAAAAAGAGCATCTAAAATCTTTGAATATTGTCTGAAGAACTCTTAACCTCTTGTAGATAGAGATATCTTTGCCTTTCCTAAGGAGTTCACCAATTTTTTAAATTTTGATTTTGTCAGTTATTCCAAAAATATTCTTTATAACTCCAGGGTCTAGTACAGGGTCATACAAAGCATTTATTTGTCATATATGTTTCATCTCCTTCAAATGAAGTGCTTCTTCATCTTTGCTTATCTTTTATGGCCTTAACGTTTTTTAAGAAAGTTACTGGCCAGTTATTAATACTTAGGAAAATGTCCATCAGTTTAGGTTTGTCTGACGTTTTCTAATGAGTAGACTCAGCTTATGCATTTCTAACAGGAACACCACATAAACAATTCTGTGTTCATACCAGGAGACACACACACAGTTAACTTGACCCAGAATTGTGATATTTTATCAATTGATAAAGATGGTATTTTCTAAATTTCTTCACACAAAAGTTAACTAGTATTTCATTCCAATTAATTAATAAATAAGTATTTTATGGGGAGATACTTTGACCATGTAAATATCTTCTTTCTTATCAAACTTTTATTTTAATTTCCATTATGATTCTTACCTGAGTTAATTATACTTGGAAGGTGGCCAAATGGTAAATTTCTAATTTCAGCATTTCTTCTACATTATTAGCTGGTGTTCTGCTATAATTAGGAGCTTTTCATTCCCCTGATTTATTTATATAGTCATTTATATCAGTATGGAACAGTGAATTTGTTTTTTATTCAACAGATTATAATCTGTTACTATTGTTCATTTTGTTGCTCAAATCTTCTCATATTTAAGCTGTCTCCTGTGTCCTTAGGACATGTTCCCATCATTCTTTGAGTACTTCCTTACATTCTGACATAATAAGATGTTTCAGACTCAACTTTCGTTTTCTATACTCTGGAATCAGCCATCCCTTCAAGGAGCCCTGCTTGATTTTAATGGAAAATAGTATTTTTTAAAAAACTTCTTTAAAGACAGGGTCTTACTCTGTTGTCCAGGTAGTCATGCAGTGACTATTCACAGGTAAAGCCATAGCACTCTACAACCTCATCTTCTGGGCTCAAATGGTCCTCCTTCCTCCACCTACCAAGTAGCCAGGACGACAGACATGCTCACCACACCTGGCTGAGAATGGAATTTAGAGCCCGAGACCCGGGTTCTAGGTGGGCTCACTGTCATTGCTTCTAGTCCCTCTCCGTGGACAGAGCAAGGAAGTGTGTGTGTGTCCATGCACACGGACACACGTAAACCCATGTCTGCATCTGCATTTGTCTGTCTGAAATCGTGACTCTACACCAACACTTCCAACTCCAGACCATCACCACAGAAGTTACCAGAGGCCCCCCAATCCCACGAGCATGTGTCTCTTCTCCAGCGGTGAGCAGCCACGCTCCACTAGCTTCAGCATTACTCAGACTTCCTGTATGTGATCAGGCTCCCAGCCACATGGCCACCTCCCCACCCCGCAGCTCCTGACAGCGAAGGCGCCTTCTGTGCCCAGTCCTGTTGAGCAGCCACGCAGAATCCTCAACCTGAGCACACTGCCATGCCAGCAGCACCAACCGAGTCTAAAGCTGGCTGCGTCCCAGGCCCCAGCCTGGCTAGCCATCCTTGGCCCCATTTGCATCTGCTCAATCCCAAGCCCTGACCAACAGGAAGGGGCAGAATACCAGTTGAACAGAACTTGAAAAGGCATTACAGCTTTTACAGACAAGAAAAAAATGAATACATCTACATATATATATAATAAAAAGGAAAGAAGAAAGAAAAAAGATAAAGAGAACCTGTTGCAGGTACAACAAATATATGACACTTGCTATATTCAGAGGCCTTGTACAAAGGCTGAGGGCCACTAAGATCGATCCCTAACTCTCAGGAAACTTACTGCCGCCCAGGGAGACTAATGTGTATGCACTAGATAGAAAACAATATGGGAGGCCGGGCGTGGTAGCTCATGACTATAATCCTAGCACTCTGAGAAGCCGAGGTGGGCGGATTGCTTGAGGTCAGGAGTTTGAAACCAGCCTGAGAAAGAGCAAGACCCCGTCTCTACTATAAACAGAAAGAAAGAAATTGGCCAACTAATATATAGAGAAAAACTTAGCCGGGTATGGTGGCGCATGCCTGTAGTCCTAACTACTCGGGAGGCTGAGGCAGGAGGACCGCTTGGGCCCAGGAGTTTGAGGTTGCTGTGAGCTAGGCTGACAACACAGCACTCACTCTAGCCTGGGCAACAAAGCGAGACACTGTCTCAAAAAAAAAGAAAAAGAAAACAATATGGGAATTAACATTCTAGGATTAAACACAGGATTAAGAGGGGAAAAATGATGATTTTACCTAAGTAGGTCAGAGGAATAATAGAGCCCTGCCCCACTGCCAGGGAAGTGTGGGTCATGCCCAGCAAAGGAGGCCAGTAACCAGGCACAAGGTCGAGGCACTCGAGGCAGCCTTAGGAATGGGGGCTAGTGACCAACATGTACAAAGGCTGCTGTAGGTTTTAAAGCAAGTTTGAAATAATATCTTAAATTGTTAGTATTAATAATAATCCTCTAAGATTGTTGTTTTAAAAAAATTTTAGATACAAGAATAGTTAATGGTCTTTACTGTGTCTTCAAATTTTAGCTGAAGAATCTGCTTCTTCTGGAGCAAAGGGAGATCTGGCTGCTGGTGACTGATACCACCCTGCAAGCCAGGGCTGAGAGCGACCCCGAGCTCCCCAGGACGCTGCCGGTCTGCGTGTCCCCCTCCTGTGTGCTGGGCCCGGAGGTCCTGGAAGCATTCTCCAGGGCGGCTCCTCACGACATCCTCTTCAGGGACGCCGTCCGAGACCAGGGTGCGCTCACTGCCTCCCGGCAGCTGGGGTTAGGGTGACAGGTGCCCAAGCGTGGCTCGCCTGGCTCCTGGGCGCCTCCGCGTTGCCCGGGCGCCGGCACGCTTCCCGAAGCCCACCGCGGACGCGGCCTGGGCGGAGAGGCGCGCCTGCCAAGGCCACCCGGGCGGAGCCGCACGCCGCGGGGCTGACACACCCGGCGGAAACGCCTGGCCCCGCCAGGGCTGCCTGCGCACGGCACCTGCGCACGGCACCTGCGCACGGCACCTGCGCACGGCACCTGCGCACGGCACCTGCGCACGGCACCTGCGGATGGCACCTGTGCGGCTGCGGGGCCACCTGAGGCCGCGGTCTGGAATGTCCTTTCTACAACAGACCGAAAGCTAGAACACTGTCAGTGTTGCGCTTAGGCCGGTCAGCCCTTTTGTCCAGGGATCAAACTAGGATCCTGCCTAAACTATGTATTTTTAAATTTTACTTAAATACAATTCACATACCACAAAATTTCCGTTTCTGGGCCGAGCCTGAGTCCAGTGCGGCTCGCTGGCACGGCGCTGGGCCGCTGGCCCCACCTGCGCCCGGCGCCCACTCGGCTCGCGAGACCGTCTCTGCCGGCTGAGAATCCACTTTTCCCAACGCTGCCGTAACCTGAAGCGTCTCTGTCGGCAGGTCGAGTTGCTTGTGTGGAGCGGACCGTCCTCGTACCTCAGAAGCCCCTTCCGCGCGTGGCCCCTGGCGCTCGGCCCTGGGCGCCGACTGGCCCGGTGACGCTGGACCGGCTGGACCCCGGCACGCCCGCCAACGCCGCGTGCAGCGTGCAAGGTGGGCGTCCGCGGCCTGGGGGGGCGCGTGCAGCGTGCAAGGTGGGCGTCCGCGGCCTGGGGGGGCGCGTGCAGCGTGCAAGGTGGGCGTCCGCGGCCTGGGGGGGCGCGTGCAAGGTGGGCGTCCGCGGCCTGGGGGGCGGCACGTGCAGCGTGCAAGGTGGGCGTCCGCGGCCTGGGGGGGGCGCATGCAGCGTGCAAGGTGGGCGTCCGCGGCCTGGGGGGCGGCGCGTGCGTTCCCGCGAGTGCTCACCTGCTTGGCTTCGTTTGCCCGTCGGTGCAGCGAGTGTTTGCTGAGCGCCTGCCATGTCCCAGGCACTCAACAAACCCGGAACCGTGCTGACGCGCGGGACGGTCTGTGCAAGCCGAGCCGACGGGAGCCCGCAGCCCTCGCCCGCTCCGGGAGGCGGGAGGCGCCTCAAAGCCGCGAGCGCGGCTGCGGAGGGCAGGCGGGGCGGGAGCGGGCGGGCGGCAGTATAGAAGTGGACCCGGGAGTGGAATTCCGAGGAAAATTGCAGCTGGTGGTGAATTGGGCACAGAGGGAGCAGGGCGTGCCTGGAGACGGAGGTCGCCGGAGACCGTCTCCCTCCTGGCTCAGACGAGGAGGCCGCGCCGCGAAGGTCCCCGAGGGAGGGTGCGGTGCGTGAGGCCAGCTTTGACGACCATCTCGGCCCCATCTCCACAGTTGGGGTGTTTTGGATACATCCGAGATGTTTCAGCGGCTGGTTGGATATATGAGTCTGGAGCTGAAAATTGCATTAATACTTTCTTTTTTTAACTTTATAAAATTTGTATTAATAAAAGTGATACGTGTCCATTGGAACTAGGGAAAGATGAACAAAGAGAAAGATAACAGCCTCCCCCCACGCCCACCCGCAGCGCCTTTCCGCTCTGCCGGAGTGCGGGAGCACACGGCTACCTACCTGGGGAGCCTGTGTGTTTGCTGCGTGTCATTCTGTCACTTGCTTCTCTCTCTTAATGCTCCAGCAGGGATGAGAGAGCTCTAACCTGAGTTTAACAGTCGCATAATATTCCCTCAAATGAATGAACTGTCCCTCCACTCATGGACATGCAGGATGTTCCTGTGTTTTGCAATTATAAGCAAGTCTGTAATAAGCATCAATCCCTACTGATATCTATAAGGGAGGATTTCAGAGGGTTAGGGTTCACAAACTTTTTAAACAACTTTATTGAGATATAACTCTGTATCTCACATACCCTGTAATTCATTCATTTAAAATGTTTATAATATATTCACAGAATTGTGCAACCATCCCTACAATCTAATTTGGGAACAAAAAGAAACCCTGTGCCAACTATCAGTTACAACCCCCCACCTCCCAGGCCCTAGTCTTAGGAAACCACCAGTCTACTTTCTGTTTCTATGAATTGCCTATTCGGGATATTTCATATAAATGGAATCATATAATATGTGGTCTTTTGTGATTGGTGTCTTTCATTTAACAAAGCGTGTTTAAGTTTTATCTACAATGTAGCATGTGTTGGAATTTTATTGCTTTTATGGCAGAATAATATTCATTGCACAGATATGCCACTTTTTGCTTATCTTTTTATCGGTTGATGGACATCTGGGTTGTTTCTACCTTTTCGATATTGTGAGTAGAACTGCTCTGAGTATTCATGGACAAGTCTTTCTTTGAACACCTGTTTTTAGGCTTTGGGTGTGAATCCAGGAATGGAATTGCTGGGGTGTATGGTAATCCTGCATTTGACCTTATTGAAGAATGCCAAAGTGTTTTCCAAAGTAGCTGTACTATGCGTGGTTTTGTGTATGTTTTTTATTTTTTATTTATCTTTATTTTTTTTCCAGTGGACACCTATCTAGGAATATATGTGTTTAATAGTAAATGACATATTGCTAAATTGCTTTCCACAAAGTTTATAAAAATTCAACCTTCCAAAAGTAACATCTAAGATGGCCCCTTTTCCCCACCTTTACTCACCACGACTTCCTGACTCTTTTTAGAATCTTTGATGAACAAAAAAAACTTATTCCATTGTTCCTTTAAATCACATGCTGCTTGTGAGATTGAACACTTGTTCACTGTGTTGAAGCTATTTGAACTTTCTCTTCTGTGCATCTCTGTGGGGCCAGCGCTGACACGCACCTGCAGTTGTGAATTGATGGCACTGTTTTCTCACCTGTGACATAGGGCTAATAGAATCAGTCTCAAAGCATCATTCAGGGTTAAATGAGATCATGCACAGGAAGCTTTGGGGGCTTAAGGCCTCAGAGTCTAGTGGAGAAAATAGCATCTCCATACTTCTGCTATCGGGAACTAGGAAGGAAAGGTTGGCTGTCTGAGGGCTGGAGCCAGTCGTCGCCAAGGGTGGGGGCCCTAGGGATTTGTCAAGCAAAGTTGGGGAAGGCCCTCCAGGCAGGGGGAAGGGTGGGTAGAAAACCCACAGAGCTGTGAGGAGCAGTCAGAAAACCTCCAAGTGCTGGTGGAGGAAGAGGGACAAAGCACGAAGTCGGGAGGCTGACTCAGGCCAGTGTGGGACGGGCTGCTTCTGTGTTGTTCTGCTCTCCTTGGCCACTTTGAGAAGATTATAGGATCAAATTTTTAAATGAAGGAATTCTGGAAGCCCCATAGACAGACGATGGTGCAAAGCAGGGACAGATTATTGTCAGGAAGATGTCAGAAGGGTGGGGCGTCTGCAAGACGGAGCAGACTGTGGGGCATCAGTGAGCCAGCATGGAACTGCTCCTCGGGGACAGCAGTGCTGCATCCCTGGGCATGCAGGCGATTGGGACAGAGCCACAGTACAGACAGGGATCCCCCAGGTACCCCAAGTGGTCAGGCTATGGGGACAGAACCACAGTGCAGACAGGCATCCCCAGGTACCCCAAGTGGTCAGGCTATGGGGACAGAACCACAGTGCAGACAGGCATCCCCAGGTACCCCAAGTGGTCAGGCTATGGGGACAGAACCACAGTGCAGACAGGCATCCCCAGGTGCCCCAAGTGGTCAGGTATGGGATGAAACCACAGTGCAGACAGCATCCCCAGGTCCCCAAGTGGTCAGGCGTATGGGGACAGAGCCACAGTGCAGACAGGCATCCCAGGTGCCCCCAAGTGTCAGGCTATGGAGACAGAGCCACAGTGCAGACAGGCAACCCCCAGGTGCCCCAAGTGGTCAGGCTATGGGGACAGAGCCACAGTGCAGACAGGCAACCCCCAGGTGCCCCAAGTGGTCAGGCTATGGGGACAGAGCCACAGTGCAGACAGGCATCCCCAGGTGCCCCAAGTGGTCAGGCTATGGGGACAGAGCCACAAGGCAGACAGGCATCCCCAGGTGCCCCAAGTGGTCAGGCTATGGGGACAGAGCCACAGTGCAGACAGGCATCCCCAGGTGCCCCAAGTGGTCAGGCTATGGGGAATGAGCCACAATGCAGACAGGCATCCCCAGGTGCCCCAAGTGGTCAGGCTACGGGGACAGAGCCACAGTGCAGACAGGGATCCCCAGGTGCCCCAAGTGGTCAGGCTATGGGGACAGAGCCACAGTGCAGACAGACATCCCCTAGGTGCCCCAAGTGGTCAGGCTATGGGGACAGAGCCACAGTGCAGACAGGCATCCCCAGGTGCCCCAAGTGGTCAGGCTATGGGGACAGAGCCACAGTGCAGACAGGCATCCCCAGGTGCCCCAAGTGGTCGGGCTGTGGGGACAGAGCCACAGTGCAGACAGGCATCCCCCAGGTGCCCCCAGTGGTCAGGGTATGGGGACTGAGCCACAGTGCAGACAGACATCCCCCAGGTGCCCAAGTGGTCAGGGTATGGGGACAGAGCCACAGTGCAGACAGGGATCCCCAGGTGTCCAAGTGGTCAGGCTATGTGGGACAGAGCCACAGTGCAGACAGGATCCCCAGGTGCCCAAGTGTCAGGCTATGGGACAGAGCCACAGTGCAGACAGGCATCCCAGGTGCCCAAGTGGTCAGGCTATGGGGAATGAGCCACAGTGCAGACAGGGATCCCCCAGGTGCCCCAAGTGGTCAGGCTGTGGGGACAGAGCCACAGTGCAGACCTGTGTAACTAACAAACACACACACACACACTCACTCACTCACTCACCCACTCACTCCCTCACTCCTTTAGGGCATGCGCCGTGCCTGTGCCTTTGCCAATCACCGGCAGGCAACTTGCTGAGTTTGCAGATCTCCAGAGGCTCTGTAAGGACTTCCACCTTTATTCTCTTTATTGGTTGCTACTTGTTCTCCTCCCACCCTCCTTGCCCCACTTGTCCCAGAACCCAAGATTGGTCAGGGGCTCAGAGGCGGAAGAAGGATGACTAAGCGGCCCCCAGTGGAGTTCTGGAGTTCTCTGCTCAGTGTCTGAAAGTCACTGCCATGCCCCACATGGCTTAGGCTGCAGAGTGACCATAAGAATTGCCAGTGCCTGGAGCACTGTTTTATGAGAAAATATGTACCAAAAGAGCTAGCTCCCAAAGGATGGTTTCCCTAACCCATTGCTACAGCCAGTGAGTGCCACAGACATGCAGGAAGAGGCAGGTCTCCTCTCTCCGCAGGGCTTGGCCATTGGTATGCTGAAGGAACTTCCTCAGGTCACAGGCCAGGGAGCCTGCCTCTGAGGCATTGTGCAGGGCGGCGGCTGCTGGGAGCCCCTCATGAGGCTCCACCACCCTGAAGCACCACCTGGCTCTAACTGGACCTTCATGTAGGGTGAGAACTAAGTATTTTTAAAGTAAACCACAGGTAGTGTGATCGATCGTGCAGCTCTGTTTGTGGTAGCACGAGACAGACTTAGATGTCCAGGGATGAGTATTTCAGACCCTGAAGCACGCACTCGTCGGAAGGAGAGCTGCATGGGCTGCCGTACATCCGCGCTGCTCTGGGCGAGTGCACTGCCGCCTGCCTGGTGGGCTTTACTGGATGCAGCACGTCCCTAATGGGACGGAGGCCTCGGGGCAGGTACTCCTGGCACTGGCCTTAACCGAGAGCATCTGCACAGGTCCCAGCCCGGAA